GGGGACATTGGGGAGATTTGGGGATGTTGGGGGGAATGGGGACATTGGGGGGAATGGGGACATTGGGGAGATTTGGGGATGTTGGGGGCATTGGGAACATTGGGGTGATTGGGGAATGTTGGGCGGATTGGGAACATTGGGGGATTGGGGGGACATCAGGGAGATTTGGGGATGTTGGGGGGGATTGGGGATATCGGGGGGCCATGGTGTGGCCGTGGTGACATTGTCCCCTGTCCCCAGCTGGGGTCCCCCACGGCTCTGGCGGACCCGGAGACTGAGCGGCGGCTGCGGGAGGCTGCAACACGGGGGGGCCACACCCTGTATGTCCCCAGGGGAGCCCTGTGGGGCTGCGGGGACATTGCCAGGATGGACCAGGAGGGGACACTGGCTGTGAGTGACACTGGGGACACTCACAATGACCTTGGTGTCCCCCCCATTGTCCCCTCATTGTCCACACAGACCCTGAAGGTGACAATGACTGTGGTGTCACCCCCATTGTCCCTGAAGGTGACAATGACCTTGGTGTCCCCCCCACCGTCCCTCAGGCCCTGAAGGTGACAATGACCAAGTCCCCGCAGAGTTTCCGGGCGCAGGGGTGGCTCCAGGAGCGGGTGGCGGCTGCGGTGGCCTCAGGGACGAGGACGGTCCTGTACGAGGGTCCCCTGCGGCCCCTCTGTCCCCTCGCCCCCAACAATGTCAACACGATGGCAGCGGCGGCCGTGGCGGCACCAGGGCTGGGCTTCGACGGTGTCACCGCCTGCCTGGTGGCCGACCCCAGGTGTGTCACCTCCCCCCTGTCACCTCCCTCTGTGACCTCCCATGGTGACATCCTAGTGCCACCCCCAAGTGTCCTTGTTGTCCCCTCAGTGTCCCCCCCAGTGCCACCCTCTCCCTGTCCCCTCCTTGTCCCCTGCGTGTCCCCATTGTCCCCTCCCTGTCCCCTCAATGTCCCCCCAATGTCACCCCCCAGTGCCACCCCATTGTCCCCTCGTCCCCTCCTTGTCTCTCCCAAT